ATGTTTGAGATGTAGGGGTCTACAGTAAAGTGTACTAGAGGGGTTCTTATTCAGCCATACATTTTTATTCATGGTGGTTAATTTAAGTTGAACAATAGTTGTCTCGAAAAAACTTTACTTTTTAACTTTGGCCACGACAATATTTGTATCAGTATAATTTTGTTTATGGACACTTTACCTGGAGTCACCATCAAAATCATCTATACAGTTAAGTAAACCTTTAAACCTTCCCTCACTTTCAGCAAATATTCTCATAGAGTCTTTGCATTCGGTAAAAGTTAATATCCTTGTCAGAGTATGATTAAACATACCCAGTAGGGGAGTTGAAGCAGGTGTTTCTGTCACAAATAAACCCTTAGCTAACATTTGTGTGTCTCAATCTTAATTTCATGAAGTGAAGGATAAATACTTGCATTATATATTATCGATGAATTTTTAAAAATTTGATATCGTTTATCAGAAAGGTTACACTGAATTTTTAAGCTCAAGACATCTACAATTTATTTTGTATCTGTAAACTTCACTCTATGGTTTTAACTTTTTAGAATTTGTAACACTTCATGAGAACAACAAAGTCTTTTACGTTAGGACCTCTAAATGCTTTTTTTTATTGAATCTAATGCCAATCCTTTAGCAGGATGTTCAGCCAATTTGGCAACCTTAAACAAAATAATATTAAATATTTAAGCGTGTAAACTATTTTGTAATTTGAGTTAAAATTAATTGATTTATTATTACTATAGAACTTATGCTTCTATCACCAAAATCTTTGCAGTCCTTGCACTTTCTACCTACACCTACTGCAGCGTTTTTTAGTCAACTGTTACAACCTTATCCAACCAAGTTCGCTTGTGTTCCATAAAATTTGAGAAGGTTTATGAATGTTTCCGCAACTTTGATTGGAATTCACATTTAAATATTATTTAGATTTATCTCTTCAGGTTTGTCAATACTTTCATAGTCTCGACCATTCAGTTTACAAAACTCACATAGAAGAGCATCGAGTATATTATCATGATTAATTGATTAAACTCTTGAAATATAGGAACTAAATGTATTATTTTTATGATGAATGTATGCATTGAACTATTATTTGCTACTTTATACGAAAGTTTTAGTTAAAAGCGGAAAAAAAGAATACAATAAAAAACCAAAAAAAATATATAAAAGGTCTTATTTTAATTTGGGCAATTAGAAGCAAATGATTTTTTATTTTATCTGCTATCATTTATACCTATTAATGGAAAAATGTTAAAACTATCATGAAAGATAGTGGAAATTTTTTAGTTTTTGAACTAAACTCTTAATTAAACTAATTTTAAAAAATCATATTAATTAAATGAGATCGCAGTAATGAAAATATAAAAATAAAAGTTGTTGTCAAAAATGATGCTATTAGTTACCAAACGCCGTATACCTATGACTTCAAATAAAATTTTGAACTGTTTTTACCCACGTCATTCTTAAAAGAATTACAATAAAACGAGATTTTTTTGAACGAGTTTTCCGATAAATAAAATAAAATTAATAATTCTCGGTAAAAGGTTTTTCATCCGCCTACCAGATAGAAAACTGGCACGCATGCGCTCTAACCAAAACTTTAAAAAGTGATTTCTCCTCTTATCCAACTATGATTTGCAATGAACTAAACAAATATTTATTATCAGTTAGTCCAAATTCAACTCAAAAAAATTCCTTTAAATTCAAACAAATATTTATTATCAGTTAATCCAAATTCAACTAAAAAAGTTCCTTTTCTGACTAACAAAATAGATGCTTATGATGTTCCAATATCGTCGACCAAAACATCTGAAAAACTTTCCTTTAAGGAATTCAAAAAAACTTTTGAAATTCTTAAAACAAATATATATGTTGGTCACAATGGAATAAATAGTAATGTTGTCATTAACTCGTACGAAGCCTTAAAAACAAGTACTATTTAAAGTTTTTCATTGTTCAATAAAACAGGAAATATTTCTAGATCATTTAAAATAAGCTTCATTTACTTCAACTTTTAAGGTTGGCGATCCAACGAATGTTACAAATTATCGCCAAATTTTTTTTCTTTCTGTTTTTTAAAATTTTTATATAACATTACTTTTAGAAATAATTTTATATAACGTTATTTATCATCACCTTTCATTAAATAATATACAATATATCAATCAATACTGGTTCAAAAAAATTAACAAGAAGAACACGTCATACTCCAAATAACTTACAGCATAGCTAGATCTTCTGAGAAGTCTCAATATACGTTGGTAGTTTTCAATGATTGGTCAAAAGCATTTGACACTACTGATCATGAAATTCTCCTTAAAAAATAGAATACTATAGAATTAAAGGTATTGTTTTAATATTACTTAAAAGTTATTTTAACAACCGTCAACAGTTTGTTTATAGTTAATTAAACTAGATACAACTAATCTATTAAGTATAACCTGTGGAGTTCCCCCAGGGTTTTTATTTAAACCACTCCTATTTTTAATTTACATCAATTATATCCCTGAAGTGTCAAATTTAATGATTTAATTTGCCACTAAATGCCGAAAAAAAGAGTCACTTTCAAGGGATATCTAATAAAAAACTTCAGCCTACCGTCTTGCCCTTACTTTTTATAGACAAAATGTAAGCAAAAAAAGAAACAAATACTAACTTTTTAGTTATATATGTTTGATGAAAACCTTAGCTAGAAATATCACACTAATTGTTAAAACTATAGGAGTAATGGGTAAGGCTAGAAATGTTTTGAATTAATCAAGTTTAATACATTTATATTATTCTTTTATAAATTGTCATTTAAACTATGCAAATATTGCTTTGTGTACGATACGATAAAATGATAAAATACCAACACTTAAGTGATAAAAAAGTTTATAAGCATACAAGAAAAAAATAGCAAACTTTTTTTCTTGGTCCAAAATAGAAAAAGTGCCGCGTATCTTATCTCCTTTCCAGCAATCTTTTGTTGCGCATTAATACCCAACAATGAAAGTTAGGGAATTGTGTAACAACAAAAGTTAGGGAATGCACTTACAAATATTCTTAAATTGCGTTCAGAATTATTTAGTCTAACTATAACTCACCTCGCCAATCTCTCATTCAAATCAGGAATTTTTCTAATCTCATTCAAGATTGCTCAAATTACACCAATTCCTAAAAAATCAGGACAAACAGTATTTAAACTCACTGACCTGCGCTCCATATTAAAACTCAATACAATATCAAAAAATCTTGAAAAGCTTGCTTTATCTTGGTTTCTTCCACATGTAACTTCAACTGTAAACTTCAATTTTTTTCAATCTGATTTTAGGTCTACTTACTCAACAGAAACAGCGCTCCTAAAGATATGCAATGACATCCTATTAAACATTAATGATGCTTGAACCACCATTTTTCTCTCTCTGGATATATCTGCAGCGTTTGATACAATCAATCACAACCTGCTAATTGCTTGTATAAAAAGATGACTTTAGTCTTATAGATACTGCACTAACATTGCTCACGTCATACTTGCACTCTTGAAAATCTTTTGTTTCTATAGGCTATATAACAAAATCTAAATTGTCAACTAGTTCAACAAGATGTGTCTTAGGCCAATTTTCATTTTTGATGTTTGTTTCTCCTGTATATCGTATTATAGCTAAACATATCACAAATCATTATCAACATGCTGATGATACTTAATTATATACTATTATTAACCCAGGAAAAGATAACAATAATAAAATTACTGCATGTGTTAATAGAAAATAGAGTTTTACTTAACCCAAGCAAAACAAAAGCTATCTTATTTGAATCTAGGAAACAAACTAAAAGATTTAAAAATGATTCCAAATTTACATTCTTTGGAACAAAACAAACTACAGTAAATTTGGTGTTGAATTGTAGGTGTCAATCTAAATTCAACACTCTCCTTTGATTAACATGAAAAAATAACACTGTTAAACCCTGCAACTATCATATTCATGTTCTTCGCTACATTCTTCAATGCCTCACAAACGAAGCAGCTAACACAATAGCTTGTGTCATTATTAACTCTCAAATTGACTATTGTAACAGTCTTTTATCAGGTTCTTATGAAAAAAATGTTAAAAAACTCCAACGTACTTAAAATAGTTTATCTGGCTTTGTCTCTTATTCTCCTTTTTATTCAAAATCAAAAAAATTGCTAAAATCTCTTCATTGGTTACCAATCCATCAACAAATAGTTTATAAAATATCAGTTATTACTTATAAAACTTTAAATACTAAATCTCCTGCATATCTATTCGAAATTTTAGTAACCCGAATTTCAAAACAAGGCACAAGTTCATCAGACCGTTGTCAACTTATTTGTTGCCTATCAAAAACTTGCCAAGGATCAAAGTCTTTTTCCATGCACCTCGAAAATGGAATGGCTTGTTTATAAAAACACGTAACTCAGCCACTTTAGACACATTTAAAAAAATAATGAAATACAAACTTTTTGTAGACGCCTTCAGGAGCACAAAGTAAACTTTCTCAGTGTTTCTGAATTACTTCATCACTATTGTGATTGTTGTAAATGATGGCACTTTAATCTCTAATTGTTATATTATTATTATTATTATATATTATTAATATATATATATATATATATATATATATATATATATATATATATATATATATATATATATATATATATATATATATATATATATATATATATATATATATATATATATATATATATATATATATATATATATATATATATATATATATATATATATATATATATATATATATATATATATATATATATATATATATATATATATATATATATATATATATATATATATATATTTAGACACAAAATGAAAAGTTTATCTTAAATGCTTGAATAAACTATTCTTGTTCAGAAAAATGAATCAAAATATAAATTATGCATATATTTTATTATAAAATATGCATATATTTTATTATTAAATTATGCATATATTTTATATGCTTTATGTCATATGATGAAGTATTAAATGAAAACGTTCGAAATTTAAAAATAAAGTAATAATTATACGCAAAAATTAAATTTATTTACTTGACAAAAAAAATGTTTGTTTTTATGCTCTCATTATGTATTAACTATCAATATTGTGAAGGTAATATTTATAAATAGATATTTATGTTTATATACTTTTTATTTAAACATTTTATTTAACCATTTTACAAGGTTTCAAAGACAGTTTTAAAAATATAAAAGTATAAAATTCGATTAAAAAATGCACAACACAACAATATATATCTCAATTTTGCGCTTATTATTGTATTATTTTTTTTTAATTTTTATACGTAATATATATATATATATATATATATATATATATATATATATATATATATATATATATATATATATATATATATATATATATATATATATATATATATATATATATATATATATATATTTACAGTAAAAAGTATTTGAGCAAGCTACTTAAAATATTAAGGTTTATATTATTAATGTTAAACAAAACAATATGTATACATAACGCTATACTATAAAAGTTTATTATATATATATTCAACTTTAATGAAAATTTCTAACATGATACTATGATAGAATAAATTTAGTTATTCAACGTTTTGATGGTGTCACGGTAGAATAAGGCCCGTAAAATTAAGAATCAAGTTTATTCAGGATATTTTTGAGTTTAAATTTCCCAAAAAATAGAGAGTAGAGCGGCAAATTAGGACTTTAATAATTCCTTAAGATTGAAAGATTGTTCCGCTACTAGTCAATATGTCCAAGCAGGGCTGGCACGAGTAGGTGTCACGTGAGGGGGGCCATTACAACATTTGCCGATTAAAAAAAGAAAAAGAAAAAAAGTCCTCGTTTTCCAAAATTTGCCGACTGCCATGACGACATTTGCCGACTGTCTAATCTACATTGAAAGGGTCGACATTTACCGACAAACTAGTCTAAAATGGTCCAATTTGCCGACTAAGTGTCCAGTTTGCCGACTAAAAATCATTGATGGAGGGGTGTGATACCCCCTCCACACCCCTATTGCGCCGACCTTGTGTCCAAGAGAAATTTTTACTTATAGAACATCCAATTTCAAATAATCGATTTCAAAAAATCGATTTTTTTGTAAGCGATTTTTTATCAAAATGATGATCAAAAGGTTGTTAAACCAATGATAATCAGAATATTATAGAATTGCAGAAGTGTCGGGCGATGATGCTTTTTTTAACATGTTTCTTCTTATTTTTCATTCAACGCAAATTTTTTCTTTAATAAACGTTTGAAATTTAACTCAAAGGAGTATATTAAAGTGTTTAATATTTTAAAATAATACATAAAGTAAAATTAAGATACGTCACTACAGAATTTTAATGAAATAAATTGAGTTGCTAGTGCACGATTTTGTTCAGAATGAGAGACACTTGTTGGGAATTTTTGGAAAAAAATTTAATAAGTGTGTAACTATAAGGAAAAAATATAATTACATAAGTAAACAAGTAGTAAATGATATCTTGAAGTTTTAAAATAATTATATGGTTTCATACATCATAATATCTAAAAATTTTCGATTCCTAAAGACTTTTAAAAATTATTAAATGATTTGATATAATTCTTAACAAGTTATTAAATAATTTTTATAAATTTTGTAAATTTGATAGTTTTATAAATTTAAAATAAGTTTAAAAAACTTGAAATTCCTTGGTAAATTTAAAAAAATTAATGCGAATGCTTAAGAAATTTATTTCTTCCACTTTCGCTTTCAATTTTAAATAACAAATTCACATTGTTTCCGCCATGTTTCAACAAATTCATCTGTGTTTCCGCCATGTTTTATTTTATTAATTTTATTAAACATTGAATTTTAAATGTTTTTATGTTTGAAAGAATACCACTTATCCAACTTAAATTCAACCATCTACAAATTCATAAAATGGATTTGAAAATTCCATTTCTATTTCAATTTATGAAATGGAATGAATTTGAAATAGATGTTAGGGATTTAGATACTAAATGTTACATATTGGCTAAACGTTTTGTCCTATTCGTTTTCTCTTTTGAAAATAGATCTTATATTTTTGCAGAAAATGTGGCTTTACATTCAAAAAATGAAATTATTATTGATAACAATTTTTAATAGATTTACAGCAGATTTTTTTAAAATTGTCATTTGTTATGGGGTAATGTTTCTAGAAGAGACGGAAAAACAAATTTCAATGCACCCAATCTATCATTTAAATTATTTAGAGATAAATATTTTTACAAGGTAACTTTCTGAGTTTTGACTACTTTATTTAGAGTTGTAAATATGAAAAATGTGGTTAAAAAAAATATATATAATAAGTCAAGACTCTTGCTAATTACACAAGAGTCCTGGCTTATTATAAGATATTTATTTATTTAAACTAGAATTGTTTCTTTTGTGAAATTCTGCATTAAGTAATTGACCAAGTAATTTTTTTAATTGAATTTTTTAATAAAAACCTTTAATTCTTATTTAGTATAGTTGGAAAACATTTAAAAGTTGTTTCTTATGCCTAATAATAAATTTTCAAAGCATTTTCAGCGGACTTATTAATTATCAGCCAACTATTGTGCCCAATAAGCAGCAATTATTTTTTAAATTTTGAAGTCAACTAATTATTTATGAACTAAATTCTTTTTTATGTAGTTAATGCAATGTCAGTTATGTATGCAATTTTATTTGCCAATGAAAAACCTTTTTCCTGAAGTATACAACACAAATTAAATTTATTTATATGCTGAGTCTTCAAATGAATCTTCATAAAAATCAAATATTTTGTAAAATTTAACTCTAAAATGTTGCAATACTGTATTACAACTGAATAAATTTTTTAGTTTCAATTGTTTGATGCGTTTAGTAAAGTTGACTAATGCAGATCATTCAATACTAGTTTTAACAATTATGGGTAAAAAATATTGTTTACTATAACAGATGTTTTTAAATTGATATGTTTTATAATTTTTATATTTTTGAGCTACATAAAGCTACAAACACTTAATCTCTCATCTCGAATCTCATAACCTACTTTCTCATCATCAATTTGGATTTCGATCTTCTTGTTCTACAACTGATTTGCTGTCAGTAATAACCGATAGGTTTTATCGCACATAAAATAAAGGTGGAGAGGTTAAGGCCATTACTCTTGACATTTCTAAAGTGTTTGATAAAGTTTAGCATGCTGGTCTTCTCCATAAGCTTTCTTCTTATGGTGTATCTGGAAACATCTTTAAGATTATTGAATCCTTCCTTTCCAATCGTAGTAGAAAAGTTGTCCTTGATGGACAGCACTCTTCTTTTTATTCTGTAACCTCAGGGGTTCCTCAAGGTTCTCAACCCTTGGCCCTATACTCTTTTTAATTTACATTAACAATCTTCCAGATATTCTCACATCTAAGGTGGCATTGTTCGCTGATAATACTACCATTTATTCTTGTCACGATAAGAAGCCAACTCCCTCTAATTGCTTGTAGGGGGTATCTGAGCTTGAAAAGGATCTCACTTCTGCTACAGCATGGGGCTCACTGGCTGGTGAACTTTAATTCAGATAAAACTTTTTTTTAGCCAATCGTTATCGCAATAATTTAGACCTTCCTATATTTATGAACGGTAATGAATACTGTTGCCATATCTACGTACCACGATTTACAACAAAAAAAAATTAGTAGCTTCCTCGACTGTAGTGGCCCCCTTGGGCTTTGAGGAGGTAATTAATTAAAAAATATATATATTTGGGGTGGATCTTCTTATGACGCCCTTTCTCTTTTAGACAAGGTGCAAAAAGGCATTTTAAACATAGTTGGACCTGCTCTTGCAGCCAACCTTCAACCTCTGTCACATCGTCATAATGTTGCTTCTCTTTCTCTTTTCTACAATTACTATAATGGGCACTGCTCTAAAGAGCTAGCGTCTCTTGTGCCATCTACTAAAATTCATTCTCGTGTTACACGTCATTCAATTAAGTCTCATCCTTTTTCTGTTACTGTTCCTAAGTGCTCCAAAAACTTTTACTCGTCTAGTTTTTTTCCTCGAACATCAGTTATTTGGAATTCGCTTCCTTCATCTTGCTTTCCGGATTCATATAATTTGCAATCTTTTAAGGTGTCTGTCAAGCGTTGTCTTGCTCTACAATCTTCATCTTTTCTCTTCCAGTAACTTCTAACACTAATTAGTGGTTGCTTGCAGCTTTGTTGGAAGCGAAGATGTTTTAAAAAAATAAATAAAAAACAACAACTAATATATATATATATATATATATATATATATATATATATATATATATATATATATATATATATATATATATATATATAAATATATATATATATATATATATATATATATATATATATATATATATATATATATATATATATATATATATATATATATATATATATATATTAGGGTGGGTCATAAAATTTTTTTTTAGAGTTGCTAACCTGCCTATGGTCTAGAAAGTTGTTTTTTTATGTACTAATTTAGGAATGTATTTATTTTTATGGATTGAGCAATGTCTTCCACCCGCAACTATAATTACAAAAATTAGCAGGCCCTATTATTATTCAAAAAAAATTTTTTCAAAATTATGTGATGTAGGTACTCAAATAAAGCAAAATTTTATAAAAGTTTCAAAAATAATAATTTTTTTATATAAAAATTATTGTTTTAGATTTTATTGCATAATAACTATTGATTTTTAACTAAAAGTGAAAAAGGTGCATTTTTACATATTTTTAAATAACAATTTTTTTTCGCAATATGATTTTTATAAAACGATTATTATTTTTGAATTTTTAAAAAAATTTCGCTACTTTTGAGTACCAGGTTGACCTACTTTTGAAAAACTTTTTTTCACTAAAATAAAAGGGTACCGTTTATTTTCCCAATAAAGTTGTGCCCTTTAAATCTATCACAATCATTCTCATATTTGATAGTATCAATATTAATAACTATTAGCAATGTTTAGAGCCTGTAACAAGAGAAAAAAATTTATGACCCACCCGAATATATATTTATATATATATATATATATATATATATATATATATATATATATATATATATATATATATATATATATATATATATATATATATATATATATATATATATAAATATATGTATATATATATATATATATATATATATATATATATATATATATATATATATATATATATATATATATATATATATATATATATATATAT